TAATTTGTATTATTTTTAACCCCCCTCCTATTTGCATATTACTGTTTATTTCCATTTGCAGTTATGGCCCGGTGTACATATTAGTGCTCTTTTGATTATCGGGTGGCCTTATCATATGGCCTGCTATGGCGTTTTTTATTTCTTACCATCTCCGTTTTTTGCACCCAGTTTGTATCGAGTTATTTATGGTTTTTATTTTTCATCATGGTGATCGTGATGAGAAAGTTTCTTCCTTACATTATGCCCATGGTAAAATGGCGTCGCGCAAGCACACTGATCTATCTAAGCCGCTCCTGACTTCGGCAAAATGGCGCTGATCTAGTGCGCATGTGCCGCTTTTGCGCATATATAAGGACGGCGCTTCAGTCATAATGTTCCTTGTCTCTACCTCTGAGGAAGTGTGTGCTCACGAAACGTGTCAGATGGAGCCCAGGACGTCGTGACATCACGCTGGTGCCACGTGGAGGCCCAGTGGCCATCTTTGAATCTGTATGGTCAGTCACTTGTTTATCTGACGCTGCTGTGACTTGCTATTTGCTTCTGTGCTCATCGCTTTTATGATAATACATTTTTGCATAAATTACTACACTATGAGTACTTCCCTCGTTCTCCCGTGAGGAGCTTTTAATTTTCAGAGCCCTGCTGTGATCCATCCATTTATCCCAGAAAGGGGAACGACCTGTAACTCAGGATCTCTCACCCACATGTCCCTTAAAGGGGACCTCTGGTGCTCCGGGTCCATCTTCACCATACGAGGGCATTTGTTCTTCGTCATCTACAGTTCCTGTCCATACCCTGACCAGAGAGAGAGGGGGGATCCTCACGATATTGATACACCGCATATTTTTAATACGCCTTTGGTTAGTGCGCATTTATACCATATGCACTGGGAACATTAGGAGCACCTTAATAAGGACTCGAGTTTCTATACAGCTTGTGATCAGATGTTTTACCTGTTATTATTGATTCTTATTATTATTAACATTTATTGACACCCCTATTGACATCTAGCACTGCCTTTTACATTTATGTTGTTTTTACAAGGTTTTATGTAGTTTCCTTGAATGTTCAGCTGCTTTTTTCCTAAGAGCGCTCACTGTATTTTTTATTAGGATATTTGTTGGCCATTCTTAAAAAATTCGGCTTTGGTTCTACCTTTTGTCAATGGGTCCAATTTCTGTATACGGCACCTAGGGCTTTCATTCAGAGCTAATGGCTTTCAGTCTTCCTCTTTTATAATTTTTTGTGGCACTAGGCAGGGGTGCCCACTGCCCCCCCTGCTTTTTTTTTTTTGCCATTGCCATAGAACCTTTGGCCTGCCTTATACAGGCTTAAATTGATGTGACCAGCTTGGTCAGAGGTGCCTTTGAGGAAAAAATTGCATTGTATGCAGATGATGTCCAACTTTTTTTTTTATCTAACATCCAGATATCTCTTCTAGCAGTAATGAAAAATGTTGACGAAGTTGGCAAATTCTCAGGCCTTGGCATAACCTGGGAGAAATCAATTAAGTTAATGCCACTGGATCCTTTGTCAATTTCCTTACTATCTACACTCTCCTATTTAAGAGTTTTGTCATCCATGAAATACTTGGGGGTAATAATATCTACTTTATTTTAGGCCTTCATTTCCGACAATATTGCCCCATTGTTGTTTAGATTTCAAGTTCAAAGTAAAACTTGGAGTAAGTTGCCTCTTTCTTTGGTAGGCCGTGTTAACCTATTCAAGAGGATTTGGATGCCCCAGCTCTTATATTTTTTATATATAACTCCCCTGTTTGGATACCTTTGTGGTCTTTTATTAAGATCGATAGGATATTCAGGGATTTAATTTGGAGAAAGAAGGCCCCCCCGTATAAAATTAGAGACAGTACAATCCCAGTGATGCTGGAGGACTAGCAGTACCTAACCCAATGCTGTATTTTTTTGTGGCTCATTTGCAGCACCTTACGGGCTGGGAATCAGAGAGACCTCCCAGGGCTGCTTGCCGACTATTTTCTTATATTTTTAAGGGCCAGCCACCATTGCATGTCCTGGAAGGGGTATTGAGGGGTGTTTTAATTAACCGCCATGCTTACACTGGTGTTAATGTACAAGGTGTGGGAGGAAACTAAGAAAATGATAGGGATCACTATCCTCACTAGATATACTCCAATATGGGGAAATAATAAGCTTCCTGAACAGTTTGTTTTTCAGGGCTTTCAGAGATGGGAAAGAGCAGGAGTTTTCACTTTAGTACAATTTTATGACAATGGAACTCTTGAAACATTTGAGCAGTTGAGGATAGAGTTTTCTTCACATCAAAGGTGGTTTTATCAGTTTCTTCACCTTCATCATGCATTACTAGCTCAATTCTCTTCTACAGTAGTGCTTTTTTCCCCCACCCCGATGCTGGACAGAATAGTTCAAGCAGCGTCAACTAAGGGACTAGTTTCGGACATCTATTTAAATTTATTAAAGATTTTTATTGAAGTTCCTGGTTTTGTCTAGGGCAGGATGGGTTCCATTTTAGAGGAGATCTGTGGGAAGATTCTTCAGTCTCCATCACATAGATTAACCCACAATAAGTCTCCCCTGAAGCTGGCCACTGGGGAGATCACATGACCAGACCGGAACGCCCTTAGATTAGGTAGGTATACACATCTTTCCTTTACAGGGTAGTTAGTACAGTGGGGCAAAAAAGTATTTAGTCAGCCACCAATTGTGCAAGTTCTCCCACTTAAAAAGATGAGAGAGGCCTGTAATTGGCATCATAGGTAGACCTCAACTATGAGAGACAAAATGAGAAAAAAAATCCAGATAATCACATTGGCTGATTTGGAAAGAATATATTTGCAAATTATGGTGGAAATTAAATATTTGGTCAATATCAAACGTTCATCTCAATACTTTGTTATATATCCTTTGTTGGCAATGACAGGTCAAACGTTTCCTGTAAGTCTTCACAAGGTTGGCACACACTGTTGCTGGTATGTTGGCCCATTCCTCCATGCAGATGTCCTCTAGAGCAGTGATGTTTTGGGGCTGTCGCTGGGCAACATGGACTTTCAACTCCCTCCAAAGGTTTTCTATGGGGTAGAGATCTGGAGACTGGCTAGGCCACTCCAGGATCTTGAAATGCTTCTTACGAAGCCACTCCTTTGTTGCCCGGGCGGTATGTTTGGGATCATTGTCATGTTGGAAGACCCAGCTACGTTTCATCTTCAATGCCCTTGCTGATGGAAGGAGGTTTGCACTCAAAATCTCACGATACATGGCCCCATTCATTCTGTCCTGTACATGGATCAGTCGTCCTGGTCCCTTTGCTGAGAAACAGCCCCAAAGCATGATGTTGCCACCCCCATGCTTTACAGTAGGTATGGTGTTCTTTGGATGCAACTCAGCATTCTCTCTCCTCCAAACACGACGAGTTGTGTTTCTACCAAACAGTTCTATTTTGGTTTCATCTGACCATATGACATTCTCCCAGTCCTCTTCTGGATCATCCAAGTGCTCTCTAGCAAACTTCAGATGGGCCCGGACATGTACTGGCTTAAGCAGAGGACACGTCTGGCACTGCAGGATCTGAGTCCCTGGCGGCGTAGTGTGTTACTGATGGTAGCTTTTGTTATGTTGGTCTCAGCTCTCTGCAGGTCATTCACTAGGTCCCCCCGTGTGGTCCTGGGATTTTTTGCTCACTATTCTTGTGATCATTTTGACCCCATGGGGTGAGATCATGCGTAGAGCCCCAGATCGAGGGAGATTATCAGTGTTCTTGTATGTCTTCCATTTTCTAATTATTGCTCCCACAGTTGATTTGTTCACACCAAGCTGCTTGCCTATTGCAGATTCAGTCTTCCCAGCCTGGTGCAGGTCTACAATTTTGTTTCTGGTGTCCTTCAACAGCTCTTTGGTCTTCACCATAGTGGAGTTTGGAGTGTGACTGTTTGAGGTTGTGGACAGGTGTATTTTATACTGATAACAAGTTCAAACAGGTGCCATTGATACAGGTAATGAGTGCAGGACAGAGGAGCCTCTTAAAGAAGAAGGTACAGGTTTGTGAGAGCCAGAAATCTTGCTTGTTTGTAGGTGATCAAATACTTATTTTCCACCATAATTTGCAAATAAATTCTTTCCAAATCAGCCAATGTGATTGTCTGGATTTTTTTTCTCATTTTGTCTCTCATAGTTGATGTCTACCTATGATGCCAATTACAGGCTTCTCTCATCTTTTTAAGTGGGAGAACTTGCACAATTGGTGGCTGACTAAATACTTTTTTGCCCCACTGTATATGGCTTAGAATGGGGGTGGGAACAGGTTAAAGCTTAGTTAGGTTTTGGCCAGACTTCCACAAGTAGTGGATGTGTATGTAATATTTTTGGAGAGTAAGTACATTGCTTAGTGTCACTTTAAAGTAACAGAGAACAGTAACTTGCTTAGAAATGTTTCATTTCGTATGTGTATTGTTTCTCAAGGCAAATCTTTACTCTCTATTTGCATTTGTCAGATTGAAAACTACAAATGAAGCCTACATAGGAAACTACACACTACAGTATAGGGAAAAGATTTGCAAAACATCTTATTCCTCTGCTTTACAAATTTAACTCCCTTTTTGGAGTTAAATTTTAACAGAAACGTGTGCTTTACTAAAATATTAAGCTTTAATTGGGTCATCTAAATTATGCATAGGATCCATCATTTTTAATGTGGCACTAATTTAATAAAATAGGTTGACTTTTTTTTTTCAGTTTTCATTACATACCTTATTTTAGATCCAGTCATATCATTACTAAGACTTTGTGCTTTTTTATGCAATGCAGGCAACTACTGACTTAAATTCCTGAAAAAATAACAACACCCTGTCTCAGTTTTCCTTTTAGGAGCCCTCAGCCCTGATGCAAGCAGTGGGCTAGGTCTTGGGAAGACATATGCAGATATCAAAATGCCTTAATGGGTAGATGTCAGTCTTGGCGGAGTGGGCATTCCTAGACAGGCTGTGAATGCAGGCCATATTAGGTAACACCCAGGGGTGGACTGACCATTTGGAAACACGGGCACTGCCCGAGGGCCCAGGGTCAGTAGGGGGCCCCATGAGATGCCCCTGGTACCTTTTTCATAGGCTTTTTTGAGTTTCGGCAAGGACACAGGGGCCCCATGATCCCCTATTGCCCGGGGGCCCCATGAGTTGTCAGTCCGCCCCTGGTAACACCCATATGTGATGCAATAATTAAAAGAACAGAAAATCAAATGGATAAAAGGGGCAGGCAAGGGACAGTAAGTCTGAGAAGAAAAGGGGGCTAATTGATGCTGGACATCCTCCATTTAGGAAATTAGGTTGGTTCTATCTAACTAGCTGAAGCTCCTAATGCAGGCTTGAGAGGCTTTAAGGCTCCATGCACACTATTGTTTTTTTAAGCTCAAAAAATGCTGGATATAAAATGCTGATAATAGCAGTTTTTTGTAGCGCTAACATTTTATTAGCATTTTTACAGTACATGTATGGGGAAAAAAAATCTAGAAAAAGACTGTTAGTAGCGTTTTAATAGCATTTAGGAGTGTATAGAAGTGGGGGTTTATTTCTGCCAGAAAAACGCTCTCAAAAACTCTACATAAACAAATTAATTTCTGCTCTTAAACGCTGAAGCTTGAAAAACTCTACTAGCCTAAAATAGTGTGCATGGGTACATAGGATAACCGTATTTAGCTTCTGGGAGCAGAGAAAATGTTGACAATAGCTTCTAGGAGCTTAGAAAAACTCTACTAGCCTAAAATAGTGTGCATGGGCACATAGGATAACAGTATTTAGCTTCTAGGAACAGAGAAAATGCTGATAACAGCTTCTAGGAGCTTAAAAAAAAACTCTACTAGCCTAAAATAGTGGGCATGGGTACATAGGATAACAGTATTTAGCTTCTAGGAGCAGAAAAAATGCTGATAACAGCTTCTAGGAGCTTAAAAAAAACACTAGTGTGTATGGAACCTAAGTGTGCACTGAAAATCAGAGTAAGCATTTTCAGTACAGGAGGAGAGTTTGTACAGCTGTGCAAGACTGAAGATTAGGGTGGAGTTCTGCTATAGGTCAGGTGCTTTCCAGCCAATATGGACACTCAGTTGCCTTCTGGGCACACTGGACCTTGGTTTAGTTTGTCAATCAGTGGGAATTTGTCCTTCCTTTACACCTCTCTAAACACAAGCTAGAATGTCAGATCCTTGTAGTCGGTATAATAAGCACAAGTAAACTTAAATAATAAAGTGGTATGCACCTGCTGTTTCTTTTTGATAAAGAGCATATCTCTACCTACACACTGAAGGTTACAAATTCTATAAATGATGCAGCGGCCTATTACAAAATAAAAGAAATGTATATGCAAGAGAATTATTAATATGAAGAGCATAACTATGTGATAGCTGCTATACTCTTTTGGTCAGTCTGCTTAAATTAGGCATATTTCGGAGCTTAGAAGACAGCTGCATGTACCATATTCCCATATTAGCCATGTTTCTGCCTACCAGCATAGAGCATCATTGCAATTTCCAAATAGTTTATGAAATGGGACTGTTCAGTATGACATTGCTGTTATATATGATGGAACAATCATAACCAAGTAGAGTGGATATGTCAAACTGAAAAGTTAACTGAGAGCTGCACTCAAGGCCACCTCATTGAAAAAATGCTTTGGGGATTTGCATGATAATCTTAAAAAATAACAGCACAGTATTTTAAATATTTAGCAGCTCATCCTGTGCATTAGATTACTATAGCTTGAGACTTGGGTGAATATGGGTGAATTACTGCATGAGTTAACCACAGAATTAAAGTGGGGCTGAGCCACACTCTTATAGACACACAGAGACGGCTTGAGAGCGAGCACGTACAAGTTCCCCCACAGCCAACAGCAGGGGCCAGGCGGGAGACCCAAGAAGAGGAGGATTGGGGATGCTCTGTGCAAAACCATTGCACATAGCAGGTAACTATGACATGTTTTCTATGTAAAAAAAATCTAAAACTTTAGTATCACTTAAATGTGGATAAATATATATATACAGTCTGACAATAACATAAACTCAGCATTTTTTTTTTCTGAGCCCCTCCATAACATCGTTTTTTTGCCTGTTGATACTGCCAGGAGATCTGTTAAGCCTGGTACACACATCCGAAATTCATCTGCATCAGCAGGAGCCAGTCAACTTTTGTTATGTGTGAACTTTGTTCAACAAAAGCCGGTTTTGTCCGAAAACTGACTGCTGTTGAACAGTCATGCTGGAAAGACAGAATTTGGTCAGTGCTCGCTGCAAGCGCTGATGTGTGTATTCTAGTGGGGGGAAGGGAATGTGGGAGTTTGATGGTTGGGGAAGTTGGAGTTCCCCCTGTCAGAGTATAATAAAATAACAGGAGAGGTCCCTGCATCAACATCGCTTGTGTTGATGTGGGGATCGGTCAGTTTTTTTTTTTTTTTTCCTGCTGGTTGAATGAAGAAAACACTGTACATGTTTACTCTGCTCTATTTTCTAGTTCCTTTTAAAAAGACTAAGCTATCCAGCAAAAGTGTCCGTTGCAGAACTTAGCACACTTACAGAGATACTTATAATGGTCAGCTTTTTTTCATATGGTTTAACCACTTTGGCACAAGAGCAATATTTTCATTTTTTGCACACATCTGTATTTTTGGCTACCCCCAAAAAGTTATATATTTTCTGAAAGCAGAGAACCTGTAGAATAAAATAATAGTTGTAGTTTTTTATATCACATTATGTAAATGTGTCAGTTTTTTGTAAAATACAAAAGATGAGATTTCATCGAGTAAATAGATACCAAACATGTCAGGTCTTTGATGCCCAGTGATCTCGAAAAACTATAATACCAAAAACATCCACAGGCAATGCTTTAAAATACTTTAGAGCGCATTAGTTTAGGGTTAACTGTGAGCTCTGGTGCTAGAATTGTTGCTCTCCTACGTTTGTGGTGGTTCCTTATATGTGTGGTGCAATCATGGTTTACATACACGTGCATACCCTGGACCGCATTTGTGGGTATGTGCAGAACAGTGGGGGTTATGTTTGCAGGTAGGTAGGTGGTCTTTTTCCTTTTCCTTGGGGTCCCAATCAGGTACCAATGGTCACACCTGGACACAGCTAGGAGATCTTGGAAAGTGAATGCACTCAAGTCACCTCAGTTGCGATTACAAACACTTCAGTTTTATTGGCATAACATAAGGGTTTTTATACTGTAGTCTTTGGGCAGACATACCTTCAGACCATCCAATCAAATACAGGTAGATTATTTTTACCTTAGCTCAACAATTATTTGTATGAGGTTTGGATTTACACTCTTCTGCTTTATCTTTCACACCATATCTGGTCTAACGCCCAGACCATGGCTATAATCTGACCCAACGCCCAAGCTGTGGTTACAATTTTTCAGAAATGAGAGTAAAGCTTATCAGCTTTTTTGTAAAGTTTTCAAAAACACTTATTTCTACATGAAGCTGGCATTGACAGTATTGTTAGTGTGTACAAACTTCATATATATGTGTATGTTAAACAAGCATCTTGTATTAGTGTATACAAAATTGATTCAGTTGTATTCCATTTAATCCTTTCAATGTTTAGATTTAGTTTTGTTTTTTTGTTTAATTTTTTTTATAATTTGATTTGTTGTTATTTATTTATTTTTATTTCACTTTATTTCTATCACAAGGGGGGATAACAAACTCTTATGTGATAGCAGTGGACAGGTGACAGGTACTCTTTATGGAGACATTTGGGGACTGATAGACCCCAGTGTCTCTCCTGCACTCCACAGCAAGTAATCGAGCAGAGATCTGCTCAGTTACTTGCTTCTCTGGCTGATACAGCCAGAGAATTACAGCTCTGAAACCAGAAGTGACAAAATCACCGCCACTTCTGGATTCATTTCGGGTGGAGGAGATTGAAGAGCGGATGTTCTTCAGTCTCCTCCCAACCTTCACTTTGAAGCCCATTGATGTGAACATGGGCTTCCGATAAGAGTAACAGAGCCTGGGAAAAACATAGGGAGGGGTCCGCGGGAAAGGGGACTGTGCCACCAACACTGTGAGAGCAAGAAAAGAAATTGTGCAAACATTTCTAGATGACTGCTGTATATGGCTACTTGCAGTTTCAAGAAAAAGAAGCACCAGTTTTAAGGGAAAGCTTTTTTGGCCATACTTCTATGGATCATAGGAGTGCAGTTTGTTCTGCACTCTTGTGACCTGCTGTCAGCTGATATCACTCGGATGGGATCCACCCAGTTTAAAGTTGGGATCCACTCAGATGCCTGGACCAGCAGCTGGCTCAGCCTCTTGGTGAGATGGTGAGATGCTGACCCAGCCTTTCCCATCCCCTCCACAGCCCTGCACTCCAGTGAGCACTGGAGGGGCAGAGCAGAGAGCTGGTGACTGACAGTCACTGGTTTTCTGCTAACTGGCAACTGAGAGCTGTGTAATGAGCTGTCTCTGATCACTTAGTTCTATGTCTCAGAAACAGCAAGGGACAGAGCTTAGTTCTAAGTCTTAGAAACAGCAATGGACAGATGCAGTATCTGTCCTAGGTGAGTATAATTTTTTTTTTTCTTTTTTCAATGAAACCCATACTTCTCTTTTAAATGCCTGGTTCGAACACAACACATTGGTTAGTTAACATCTATATACCTTAGCGAACCTGACTGTAACTCTTAAATTCATGTATATTTATTTAACTTGATATTCACTGCCTGAAAAAAAATCCAGAATATTGGATGTCGTTCACATGTTTGAAAAGTCTAGATCAAAATTACGCAGTGTTAACACCTAGTGTGGGAGTGAAAAGAATACCAATATCCTACTGATAAGGAGGGAAAGTACTGTACATTTAAAGTCTCCAGGAACAGAAGGGCCATAATCAGCCAGGCATACAAACTGTATTGTATGAACAAACAAGCAGAAATTGCAAGGTAAGCTAATTCAAGAACAAGATTTCATTAATGCTATTCATTAATGTGTATAGTAGGATGAAGCAAGACAGCTATTTAATTAAATAAATAAACTGTGATAAAGCAAAAATGATCGCTGTACATTTCCTAGGTGTTAGCAGCACTGTGCAGCAAATAATGACCTGTAACTATGTAGGTTAAATAGTAATTAACCACTTGCTCTCCTGAGGATTTACCCCCCTTCCTGACCAGGCCATTTTTTGTGTTACGGCGCTGCATTACTTTAACTGACAATTGCCTGGTCATTCAACGCTGCACCCAAATAAAATTTATGTCCTTTTTTTCCCACAAATTGAGCTTTCTTTTGGTGGTATTTGGTTGCCTGTGCGGTTTTTATTTTTTATGCTATAAAAAAAAAAGGTTTGACAATTTTGAAAAAAAA